GGGACGTGCTTGAAGCCATCAAGGCCACCCGGCCCATTGCCAACCCCAACCCAGGCTTTAGGCAGCAGCTTGAGGAGTTTGGCTGGGGCAGTTCCCGGAAGGTAGGGGCTGCGGCTCAGTGGTAAAGAATCCACCAATACAGGGGACACAGGTTCAATCCCTGGGCTGGAAATAAATCCTGGAGGAGGATATGGCAACCCATTCCAGTATTCTTGACTGGGAAACCCCATGGACAGAGGAGCCTGGTGGGCTACACATGGGGTTGCAAAGAGTTGGACACTACTGAGCAACTAAGCAATAACAGGGGCAGGGGCTGGGGCAGGGGCGCGAAACTTCTTACTTGAGCTGAGCACTGATTGGAAAGAATTTTGCCTGTGCTTCAGACCTGGCAGAAGATTTTTCTGAGGTCTTGAACTTGTGGCTCTTGAGCTAACTTAGCCCCTAGGTGTTTGGACAGCCAGAAGTTTTCTTCTTTTTAACTTAGGATGTGTATACCCATGGGCCAGATTATGGACCCTTTAATTTGGCCAAGTGCCAGCAATGCCCACTCTGCCTGCCTGAAACCTGAAGGCATTTGAGCCTCTGGCTCCTTTGGGGAGAACTGTCCAGTCCCTACTCCACCCCTGGGTCCTTGAGGAGGCCAAAGCAATTCCTTCTCCTGTGCCCACTGGGCAGATGGCACGTGGAGATGTCAGGGACTGAGCCCACCCTCCCACCTCCCTGGAACAAGAGATGAGAAAGTGAGAGAGAAGCAGCCAGTGTAGGAAGCCAGGCTGGTTGAGAGACTTGTCTGCAAGGCTGTATTAGGAAAGAGGTGAGGAAGAGGGCTTGGCTGGTTGTTGTGCAGGCTGGGGAGGGCTTAGTGTGGTCGCACTGTGCAGGTGGGGTGGGGGGTCACTTCGGTAGGTCTGGAAGTTGGAGTGTCAAAGGGGAACGAGGGGACTCAGGGAGAGGGAGGGGGCTCCGGGAGGGGGATGGAGACCCCAAGGGAAGCTAAGAGGATGCTCAGGAAGGGGAGGGGAGCAGAAGCCCTGAGGATGGAGAGGGGACCCCGGGCAGGGCACCGACCCCGCCCCTCTTCCCGCCCCAGCTTCGCCGGCAACTGGAGGAGCGCTACGGCGAGAGCCCTTTCCGCGACGAGGAGGAGGTGCGCGCGCTGCTGCCGCTGTGCAAGCGCTGCCGGCAGGGCTCGGCGAGCGCGGCCGCTTCCCCGGCGCCCAACTCCACGGCCTCGGAGGGGACCCTGCAGCGCCTGGTGCCGCGCACGCCCCGGGAGGCCCACCGGCCGCTGCCGCTGCTGGCGCGCGTCAAGCAGACTTTCTCCTGCCTCCCGCGGTGTCTGTCCCGCAAAGGCAGCAAGTGAGGATCCCGCCCCCGCCGCGGCGCCCCTCGTCTGGTCCCCCTTCTGGGATCGTCCGGGCCTCTCACGGCCTTCAGGAGGGGCCCAGCGCCCGCGGGAGCGAGCGCCGCGGCGGCCTGATCCCTGCCCCTGCCCCTTTGCCCGCCTGGCTTGTCTGCGTCCGCAGTCCGTGTGTCCATCTGTGTGTGTGGCTCTGTGTCTGGGCCGGCCTGCTGCAGCCACCTGGTGCCTTAGTCCTCGGGCTGGGGGAGGGTGCTCCCGCGCCTCCCCCCCGCCCCGCCCCATTGCAGGCGGCGGAGTGGGAGTGGGGGAAGGGGAGGGGAGGGTTGGATGGGCCTGGAGGATATTAAAGAGACACAGAAGCTGCCGGTCAGATCTCGTCTCCCAGTCATTCAGTCCTTGAGCTAAGGGGCGGGGGGCTGTTCCTGTCACCTGCAGGAAACAAGAATGGGAGGAAGTTTGCATCCCCCTACGGCCTGCGGAGCCTGCCATCTTTCCGGCACTGCAGCGTGCTGCGCTGAAATTCCACTTCCTTTATCCTTACAGCTATCTCTCCCTGGAGCCCTGGTCTTCTGAAAAGGCCCCCAACTCCTCGTTCTCTTTGAACCCCCTGCCCCCTGGCTGAACCCCTTCCTGAACCCCACCTCTTCCTCCCCAGCTCCCTTCCTTTCCCTAGCCACAAATCATAGCTAGTAAAGGTATAGAAGTAGTACCTCCTTCATGCCTGATTTTTTACTTAAATGAGTTCACTTAATCCTCGGGGAGGAAACAAGTTCAGAGAAGTCGGGCAGCTTGTCCAAAGATACACAGCCAGAGTAGGGGAAGCTGGATGTGACCCTAGACAGTCTGTGTCCCATGACGGTTGTTAAAAAGCAGCTCCTTCTAGTCTTGAAGGTTACCGGCCAGGAGGACCCACCCCTGGCTAGTGGGAATGACCCTTCCCACTTAGAGTTTAATGGCCAGGGGAGCACTGAGAAGGGAGGGCCTCAGGGCAGCCCAAGAAAGCAGCAGACTGACTGAGGATGAACAATGGCCACCTGCGCTTATTTTTCCTGAACCATGAGTTAAGAGGGATCTGAAATTTCTGTAATCTAATAATCACCTATACAGGGATTCTTATGATGCATCAAGACCTGGGGGTGATGGGGGAGGCCCAGATTCCAGGATTGGGGGTGGGAGATGGATGAAATAAACTTCACCTGCTGCCGAACCTCCCCCTCAGCATTCACGCAACGAAAGTTCATTGAGTACCTACTGTGTGCCAGGCCATGAGCTGGGCACTGAAGACACAGCAGTGAGCAAGCCTCTGCACTCATGTTGCTGACATTCTGATGGGAAAATCCCTGGATAAACAGATAAACCAAAGAAAAACTACGTTTGGTAGTGAGGGAGGGAACTGCTTTGCTGTGTGGGTGGAAGCATTTCAGGCAGAGGATACAGTACCTGAAGAGGCCTGAAGTAGGATGGTGTATGGAGAGCAGGGTGGGAGAACTCACCAGAGTGCAGGGAGCCTGCGATCCTCCTGACTGGTTAGTGGTGCCACCACCCACCAGGTTTAAAACATCTTTGTGTTTCTGCTGGTGTCGCTCCCTATTTAAAAGCCCCCATCGCCCTTTGGGCTTCCCTGGCGGCTCAGTGGTGGAGATGCAGGTTGGACCTCTGGGTTGGGAACATCCCCTGGAGGACGGCATGGCAACTCACGCCAGTATTCTTACTAGGGAATTCTTGCTAGGAAGAACCTGGCGGACTGCAGTCCTTGGGGTCACAAGGAGTCGGACACAACTGAAACAACTGAGCACACACAATTATCTCTGTCATCTCTGAAAACAAAACCCCTTGATAGGATATTCCAGGTCCTTCATGATGCTCCCTGCCCCCCTCCTCATTACCTTCACCACACTCTGACTCAACAGCTGCAATAATAGTATCACTCATTTATTGAGCACTCTGTGTGGGTCAGGCAATGTGCTGGACACTGGACCTGCATCGCATGGAATCTGCAAGCGGCCCTATGAAGTAGGCTTTGCTATTTAACAGATGAAGAAACTGACCATCTTGGTGCCCAAGATAGTCAGCTAGCAAGTGGGGGGGCTGGGATTGAAATCCAGGCAGTCAGGTTGTGGACCCCATCCTCCTCGTTACTATGACTCTGCCCCCTGCCCTGAAAAAAATGAAGAGATGGCCTGGCACCATCAAGTCTCCTGTTTAGATGCAAGTATTACTCTTGTATTTAACCATCTGAAATTCTCTGTGCCCCTTTGGAGCCCTGCAGTTCTGAGTCCGAATCCTGGCTGTGACTGTAGAAGGGTCAGAACTGGGTGGCTGCTGCCATATGAGGACAGAGAGTGGGGAACATGAAGAAAGCTCCCTGACAGGTACACACGAGGGATAGTGCCCAGCCTCTGGTCAATGCTGGCCCCCATCTAGCACAGTGCTGGCTGCTGGGAGGGCTGGTTTCTCCCTCTCAGAGCCTCAGTTTCCCCAGGTACACAGCCAGCATGGAGCAGTCTGAGCTCCTTGACCTTTTTCATATCACGATCCCCCTTTGACAGTTTAATGAAAGATACGTGCATGCTAAGTCGCTTCAGTCGTGTCTGACTCTTTGCGACCCTGTGGGCTGTAGCCTGCCAAGCTGCTCTGTCCATGGGATTCTCCAAGCAAGAATACTGGAGTGGGTTGTCATGCCCTTCTCCAGGGGGTCTTCCCGACCCAGGGATTGAACCCTTGTCTCTTAAGTCTCCCGCATTGGCAGGTGAATTCTTTACCACTAGCACCACCCAGAAAAAATACGCAGAGATGAAAACATTACATATACTTCGGGGGTGGGGGGGCGGGTGGCAACACAGACCCCACCAGGAATCTATAAACTCTAGGTGCAGCTGTTGGGAGACAGTGTGGGACACCGTTTAGGCTCCTGGATTCTGAGGGCAGAGAGTCCCGTTTTCAGATACTGGCTCCCCCGGGCACTAACTGAGTGACCTCAGTCTTCTAATGACAAAATCAGTAATTTTACTCATCTCATGCTGTTGAGACATGTGAGCAATTGAGACACTGCAGGAAAGCTGGACCAGGCACCTTGGGGAGTGGTCAGAAGAAGGGGACTCCCAGTATTTAAGGAAATATTTCTCTAAGGGTGGCTCATGGATCACCTGGATCAGAATCCCATGAGGGTCTTGTTTAAAATGCATGTTCCTGGACTTCTTGCCCAGGAAATCTGATTCTGCAGGTCTAGGCTGGAGGCTGGAAGTGTGCATTTTTAAACCAGTCTCTGCCTCCTAGTTCTGCCCAGAGCTAGTTTGGTAGACACTATGCTTTTCCCACCTCTTCAGTCCTGGTCCTGGAAAGAGACTAAGTTTCCTGGAAGCTGGGAAGAAAGAAAAACAGGTGCAGGGATGGCGCAAGGGACACCCTGGGTGCCCATCCCCGCGCCCCCCCTTCTCCCGGTCCAGGGATGGGTAGAACCCAGGGCTACTTCACCCTGTACCCTCCAGTGGGTCTTGGCTTCCCACGGTGTTCTAGGCTGCCCGCTGTGTGAGGACTGATGCCCTCCAGGCCAGGCGACATAGGGTGGGGCGAAAGGGCCTCCAGGGAGCAGAAAGGAAAGCGAAACTTCCTACCCAGACTTTCGCTTTCGCCGCCTCCGCGCTGTCCAGGTGGCCCCCGCGCGCGATCCCCTGTCGCTCTGGGGTTCGGCCACCCGCGCGCCCCAGACCTGGTCCCCGGAGCACTCCGTTCCCCTATGGCCGGCGACCCCTTGCGGAGGGACGAAGGGAAGGTCTCCGACCGCAGACGATCCATGGAGGGGGCCGGGGGTCCCCTGCGCCTCCGAGAATGGCTGGTGGCGCAGATCGAGAGCGGACGCTATGCGGGTCTGCGCTGGGAGGACGCAGGCAAGACCCTCTTCCGCATCCCCTGGAAGCACGCAGCCAAGCAGGGTTACCAGGTGCGGCAGGACGCTGCGCTCTTCAGGGTAAGGGAGTAGGGGCAGGGGTCCCAGGTTTGGGTCCTGGAGGGCTCTGTAGCACATGATCCCAGCGCCTGGAGCGACCTGATGCGCTGTCACCTCGGGCCACTCGCTCAGTCCTTAACCTCGGCTGTCTCTAGGTTGATGATAATGTTCTCTACATATGGGAGACCCTCCCGTGGGTGCCTGCTAAGTCGTTTCAGTTGTGTCCAACTCTTCCTCACCCCATGGACTGTAGCCCACCAGGCTTCTCTGTCCATGGGATTCTCCAGGCAAGAATACTGGAGTGGGTTATCATGCCCTCCTCCAGGGGGGTCTTCCCAGACACAGGGATCAATGCAGGAGTCTCTTATGTCTCCTGCATTGACAAGAGGTTTCTTTACCACTAGCACCACCTGGGAAGCCCACCCTCTTCAAAGAGAATTAGCCAAGGACTGAATGACTTGCACCATCCTCATCCCCTAGGGGACTTCTCCCTCTTCATGGGGAAATTAGATACCACTGCCACAGATGGAAATTCCCTCCACTTCCCACCCCTAAACTGTTAACCCCAGCAACTTGGGGACATTTTCTGTACTTCCCAACCCCAGCCCTTCTCAGGGACCTCCTCCAGGAATGCCCTGTCTTTCTTCAGTCACTATTAACCTCCTCCAGACTGTCTCTTTCCCATCAGGGTTTTAACTCGGATCTCTTCCATGAGCAATAAGCAACCAGCCACATCCCAGACCACTGCCACCGTCCCAAACACCTCAGCTGCCTCCAGCTCCTGCTTCTCTGACCTCCCCTCTACTTTCACAGGGTATAAAGCACCTAGAAAGGACCTTCTGGTCATCAACTCCCTCACTCATAGCCCCTCAGCTCCTCCTCTCCCCACAATCTGGCTTCTCTTCCTCCTGCTGATGTCTCTAAGAATGCCATTGCTATCATCTTCTTAGACACCCCTTGCCCCACCTCAGTGGGTCTACATCTAGTTGTCCCTCCTCCTCCTTGAAATAGTCTCACTTGGTTTCCAGAATCTCTGTGCACCCACTCCACTCCAACCCTGACCTGTTTTCCTGCTGCCTTCTGGGCCCCTGCTTCTCAGCCTCCATCCTCTCTCCTCTTTTGGTGCTCTCAGCATTCCCTCCCGGGCCTCCTTGCTCCCGTCCCGTCCCACTCTCCCCTTACACAGCCTCAGTGTTTCCCACCCTGCCCTCCAAGCCCCAAGCCTAGCACTCCCAGACCTCTCCAATTCAGCACCTCCTCAGTGTTTCCCACCCTCCCCTCCAAGCCCCAAGCCTGCTAGTCTAGCACTCCCAGACCTCTCCAATTCAGCACCTCCTCAGTATCACACTTGTCAGCTCCCTGCTGCAAAATTGTTTTTCAAAATGGGAGATGGCCTCACCCGCCACCCAGACCACAGAGCCAGGCACCTGAACCCTGGCTGCTCCCCTCTCTTCCAATCTCGTTCTAACCCATTACCAAGGTGTTTGGCTCTTCCTGCAGAACTGCTTTTTCAGCCACCTACTTGGATCCATTCCCACCATCTCTCACCAGGACAACTGAGTGCCCTGCTTTCCCGTCCCTTGGCTCTCCTTTCTGTCCTCCAGAGGGATCACTCTAAATGTAAATCTTGCCTCTGCACTCCCCGCCTCAGATTCCTTCCATGACTCCCTGTTGCTCCTGTAATTAAGTCCCAGCTCCTTACCAGGACCACAAAGCCCTGCATGAACTGCTCCTCTCTGGCCTCTGTCCATCTCTCCCCACTCCCTCCCCAACTTCAGACCCAGCCAGATAGTTCTTTCAGTTTCCAAATGGTTCCTGTGTCTCTCACTGGGAGACCTTTGTACATTCCGTTCCCCCTGCTTGGAACACCCTCTCTACCTTTACCGGCCAACTCCCCATCATGCTCAGTGTAAACATCCCTACTGAAGACAAGCTTCCCCTGATGCATTCATTTGTTTAAAGCATTGAGGTAGCTCTCAGTGCTTCTCCAAGTCAGCCCTGATTCCTTCTGCTTCCTCCATTGAACAACTTTCCCTATGAATTATAAGTGCCTTGTATGACTCTGCCTCCTCCAGCTGCCCATGGGTGGTGACCCCGAGCATACTGCCTAGCCCACAGAAGGAACTCATTAAGTGTTGAACACGTGGTTACCTGCCCTGTACCTTAAGGCTATGTGCTGTTCAGAAGTGGGAGATTCTGTGGACTGGCCCTCCCTGTCCCTCTTTGGGGATGCTTTGACCCATCCTTCAACCCACTAGTGACACACACATGTGGCCCCCTGGCTTCATGCCCTCCCGGTACCTCAAAGCCCACAGGATAAAGCTTGGCCTTCATAATCCAGCTTCAGTCTGTCTTCTTCCTTAATCCCTCTTTCCCTTTCCCCCAACACATGCAGTAGATCCTCATTCTTCACAGATTGCATATTGACAAATTCTCTTACTTGCTGAAATTATGTATAATCCCCCAATTGATATTCAAGGCACTTTTGCAGTCATTCACAGAATGGAAAAAAAAAAAAACAAAACTGGGTCACCAATATGCACATTTCCAGCGGAGGCTGAAGAAGGTGACAACCCTAGTTTCAGCTCTTCTACTGTCCTTTCACAGGTGTCCTTTCACAGACAATCTTTAGAGCCACATTTTTAATACTTTTTGTGCTTTCTGTTGGTGATTTCACTATTTAAAATGGCCCCCAAGCCCACACAGTGCTGAAGCTTTGTTAGGACTCCTGAGCACAGGAAGGCTGTGATGTGCCTTTCGGAGAAAATATCTGTATAAGGTAACTTCCTTTGAGATGTGAGTTATAGTGTTGTTGGCCATAAGTTCACTGTTAATGAATCAACAGTTTATATTCAATAAGGCATCCTTCAACAGAAACACACATAAAACAAGATTATGTATTGACCAGTTGATAAACAGGATGTATTGACCAGTTGATGTACCAGAGGCTGACAAGGACCTAGCCTTGTATGTCCTTTAGGAGTGATAGTTCCATGTGCCCTTACTTAGTGTTTCTGTAAATTTTATGGAACACAACTGCCACGAGTAATGAGAGTCAACTATATACATACCCTCACATACACATATCAGCTCGTCCTACCAGGCTGCTCACTATCCTCTGCGTGCTTCATGCCACGCTTTTGCTCAAGCTGTCACCCCGCCAGGAATATCACTTCACCTGGCAATTTCCTACTCATCCTTTAAGGCCAAATTCAGTTCACCCCACAAATATTTACTGAGCATCTCTTGTGTGCTACACGCCACTCTATGTGCTTGGGGGGCACAGCAGTGTTCCCAAAGATCCCTCTCTCAGCTTGGTGATAGCAGCCTGAGCCTTGAGCCCCGGTTACGTTTGAGTTAAAGCATCATGAATATAATGAACAAGTTCTGCAGGAAACAAACATGGACTGTTTGCTAGGTGCTGTGCTAAGCATCTTACACAGACCACTCACCTTACACCTGCCACAACCACGTGAGGTTAGGTATTATTAGCACAGTTTACAGACAGCAAAATCAAGCCTTAAAGGTCTCACCACTGGCAAGAGACACCAACATGGGAAATGCGGCTTTTGTCTTGTGTCCCACCAAGCCTGGGATCTCCAAGAGCCATGACTGAGTGCGATTTATCAGTTAAATCGCTCCCCCACCCCTGTCCACCACTGATTCCTGAATGTGATCAATTCGAGCAAGACATCTCTTGTCTTCCCCTTTGACTACTCTGCTCCACGCTGGCCTTCCTTGAAATCTATCCCACCCCCATGACCTCTGCCCTCACTGTCCTTTCTACCTAGAACAGCCTTCCCCCAGCTCTTTGTCAGACTCCTTCCTTCTTTTCAATAAGGCTTCAGCCCAAATGCCACTTCCTCCAAGAGGCCTTTTCTGATAACCCTCTCTAAAGCAGTCCCTCATATATTTTATTTATTTAGTCCCTCTACCATAACAGTCGGGCTTCCCAAGTGCGAACTAGGAGACAGAGGTTCGATCCCTGAGTCAGGAAGATCCTCCGGAGAAGGAAATGGAGACCCACTCCAATATGCTTGCCTGGGCAGTCTCATAGACAGAGGAGCCTGGCGGGCTGCAGTGCATGGGGTCGCGAGAGTCAGACACGACTGAGCCGCTGAACAGCAGACAACAACCATAACAGTCATTCTAACATGTTTAATGAGCATCTTCGGTTTATATGTGTTCTTGCAAAGTGGGCCTTGCTGTTTTGTGTGTTCTTATGTACATCATCTTGTGTTGTAGGTCTCATTCTGTATCTTACTTTTATTTCACTCAAGGTCATGCTCTGAAGATCTATTCTTGTTCTCTGTCCATCTAATTTGTTTCTAGATGCTGTACAGACTCTATAGTGGGTATCTATTACACACACACACACACACACACACACACACACACACACACACATCTACTTTCCCAGGGATGGACACAAATTTGCTTTCCAGATCACAAATAGTTCTGCAGTGAATCTGGTCCCCTCATGAGCTTTTGTGAGAATTCCTTGGGAACTGAAATTTCTGGTCTCAGGGTATGCTTATACTTAACTGGACTAGGCATGCCTGAGCACCCTCCAGAAACTGCCCCCATTCCACTAACCATGTCCACATCCCAACCAACTCCTGGCTTAGCCAACTGGCTAAATTTTGTAAGCTTACAGATGATATCTCATACTTTTATCTGTACTTCTGTGGCACTAATGAGTCACAACATCTTCCCCTATGCTCGTGGGCTTCTGGTTTCCTCTTCGGTAAACTACCCATTGTTGTCCTTTGATAAGATTTTTTTTTCTTTCAGGATTGTTCTCTGTTTCTTCTTGATTTACAGGAGTTCCCATATGTTCTAGCTCTTAGCCCCTTGCTGATTTTAGACTTCGCAAATTTTTTGCCTTATTGTTCATGCCCTCAAAATTTTGTTTAAGAAACATTATCTGCCCCCTAGAAGATTTCTTCCTACATTATCTCCTATTAGGTTTATGGTTTCACCTTACTTTTGGTTTTTTGGTCATCTGGAGTCCACTTTGTATGGTGCAGTAGGTGCGGATATCATTTATGGCTCTCCAGGTAGCAGGTCCGGAGAAGGCAATGGCACCCCTCTCCAGTCTTCTTGCCTGGAAAATGCCATGGACGGAGGAGCCCGGTAGGCTACAGGCCATGGGGTCGCTAAGAGTCCGACACGACTGAGCAACTTCACTTTCACTTTTCACTTTCATGCGTTGGAAACAGAAATGGCAACCCACTCCAGTGTTCTTGCTGGAGAATCCCAGGGACGGGGGAGCCTGGTGGGCTGCCGTCTGTGGGGTCACACAGAGTCAGACACGACTGAAGTGACTTAGCAGTAGCAGCAGCAGCAGGTAGCAGGTCACTGCCATCATTTTCTGTCCCATTGTATTATTTATTTTTTTATTTCTCACAATCCATAATTTGGAATATAATTATTTCTTTTCAGCTGTTTGCAGCTGCCTTCTCCCATTAGACTTGCATTCCTTGAGAACAGGGGTGTCTGTCTTGCTTCCCGTTCAGTCTAGAACTTGAGCTTGCTCAAGGAGCAGGAGCTCAAGAAATAAGTGACGGATGGAGGGAGGAACAGAGGAGTCTAGGGGCAGAGAAAGAGAGAGAGGGGCTCCTGGTGGGAGCCCAGGCAGTCCTCATCCCTTTGCATGGCACCAGCCCTGTCTCCCAGGTCATTCCTCCCCAATTCCCCTGCTTATCCCCAGGCCTGGGCCATATACAAGGGCAAGCACCTAGAGGGCATTGACAAGGAGGATCCCTCTACCTGGAAGACACGGCTTCGCTGTGCCCTCAACAAGAGTGCTGACTTCTGTGAAGTACGTGAGCGCAGCCAGCTGGACATCTCCAACCCCTACAAGGTCTACCGGCTCCTGTCTGATGGTGCCCACGACCCAGGTACCATACTGCCTGCTGGAGGTAGAAGCTTAGAATGGCTCTCTAGGCAATAAGGACTCCACCTTGCCCATCTGTAAAATGGGAAAGAGTGAACTTACTGAGCTTAAAATCATGGGCTGGTAAACATAGAAGGATACTTACAGTTTATCTCCCCATTCCAAAAAGTGGAAACAGGCCCAGAGAGAGGTGGGCCTTGCCTGAGATCATTCAGTGAGCTGGGATCATCTCAGACAAGGTTGAAGGGATTCACCTTGGGGCCCAGGAAACCACAGACTATTACTTGCTCCATCCAGTTACCAGGGCTTGTGCCCCCGGTAAAGAGGAGGGCATTCTTCAGAGCCAGCAGAAGCCCCCTGGAGGAGTGACAGAGCCAGCCTACGGGACAGAAGAGCAGGTCAGCATGTCCTTCTAGACCCTGCAGCCTTGCCAACCCAGTCACCTCACACCCATACCACCCCCTCTACATTCTCTAGTGCATCATCTCACCCTCTCCATCAGGTCTTGGCCATCATTGTCCCCATCCCTCTATCAGCTCTACTTCCTACCTCTACTCCATCTCTGCCATCACTTTTAGCTCCTTCATTCTATTCTCCTTAACTCCACCATCTCTGTCCCATTGTCTCCATCACCTTCACCACCATCCCTCATGTGCATCAGTCCTATTTTCTCCCATTTCATCCCCTCTCCCCTGTTATCACTGGGTCTATCGGTGTGTCTCCACTCATGTCACCAAATCCAGTTCCATCATTGTATTCCCTTCACCTTCATCAACTCTAGCTCTCTATCATCTCCCATCATCTCTGTCTCTATCATTGTCTGTATCACTCTTACTCCACCCCGACACGTCTCCTCCTTCATCTACGGTCCATTGCTCCGTCCCCATCACCCTATTAGCCTGGTTCATTCCACTGTCCCCAGCACCCCATTCCATCCATCACTCTGTCCCCCCATCTCTGTCACTCCATCTCCTCATCCACTCCTAGCACTTATCTCCCTACCACAATGAATTTCATCTCTGACCCCATCATCTCCAAAAACCCCATCAACTCTCTCTTTACCTCTGTGGGGGGAAAAGTCTTGAGCTCTGAAACCTCAAAGTCTCTATTAACCCCAGCTGCCCTCTGTTCTGCCCAGACCTCCATCTGCCCCAGTGCAGACTGTCTGGGAATTCCTGTGGCCCACAGGTCTCATCTCCTACCCTCACCACCCTTCCTCCCAATGCTCAGGATGTATCCGGATTAGTCACAGAGGATAAAGACAAGGAGCAGCCCTCCAGGCTAGCCCAGCAGGACTCCCTGCTCGCAAGCCCTTTGGCTGACCACAGTAAGGACTGGGTCTCCTCACCCAACCCTGCCCCCTCCCTGGCCTCTTCTGTGACCTTGGTGTAGGGGTAAAGGCACCCAGGGTGAGACGATGCCTTATTGCTTCCTCTCCTTCCCCAGGCTACCAGGCACAGAATCCTGCTCACCCCTGGGGCCCTTTGCCCTCTGAGAATTTCAGCAACCCTGGTAAGAAACTGGAAGGCCCTCTCCTCTGACCACTGTGCAGAACAGGGAAGGGCCCAGGTTTGAGGCCAAATAGCCTCTGTCTCCCACCCGAAGCACCCATGCAGACTTCAGATAACAAGAGCGAGCATTTGTTGAGGGCTTAGCTTATGCCAGGCTTCCTTCTAAGTCTCCCCACAGCCCTGTGAGATAGATAGTGCCATTCCTGGCATTTTACAGATGCAGAAGCCAGACACAGAGATTAAGAACCCTGCCCAAGGCCACACAGTAACCTTGGGAAAGTTACTAAGAGGCCACAGTTCCTAAGTGGCAGTGAGAGATTAGAATCCAAGGGCCTGGTTACAGAACCCACAGCCCTAACCACTGAGCATACTGCTAACTGGAGGCTGCTGTTCTGTTGTTGTTGCTATTATTATTATTTCTTCCAGCACTAAAATCCTTGCTGTGAAGAAGCTCCTAGAATTCCAGAAACTGGGCCTAGGAGGGCAGCAGTGTCACGCCCCCATTATACTGATGGCTCCAAACTCTGATTTTGAAGCTCAACTACCAGTTCCATCCTGGTAGTTAGAAGTATGTATCCGTTGAAAGTAGTTATACTGGAAGCTGCTATTATATACTAGCACCACCACTACTGCTAGAATTATTATCACTTAGGGAGAGTGTCAAAAATTCCTGAGGTGGGGGCCAGGAGGACCGCTGGGTCCCCTGCCCGGTTGAGTGGATGGAGCGGGAGCCGGCGCCGCCAACGCCGGGCGCGGCCGCTCCCTTTCCCGCAGATTGCTGGCTGCACGTGCGACTCTTCTACCGCGCGGAGCTGGTGCGCGAAGCCACAGCGCTGGCGGCCGAGGGCTGCCGCCTGAAGAGCCGCCGGCCGGCGCCCACGTGCTGCGGCGCCTGCTGCCCCACCTGGAGCGCGGCGTGCTGCTGTGGGTGGCGCCCGAGGGCGTCTTCGCCAAGCGCCTGTGCCAGGGCCGCGTGTACTGGCGCGGCCCGCTTGCCCCGCACCGCGCGCAGCCCAACAAGCTGGAGCGCGAGCGCACCTGTCAGCTGCTCGACACGCGCCGCTTCCTCGCGGGTAAGAGCGCGACCTCGGGGCCCTGGGTTTGAGAATTCTGGGCCTGGGATGGGCCTGGAAACAAAGGACGTGACACAGAAGCCCCGAAAGTGGGGACGAGTATGGACATGGGCCTGTAGGAGCTGTAGGTGTAGGCAGGTGGCAGGCTTGGGGCGCTGGGTGTGGGACAGAAGCCTAGGACTTGGGCACATGTTGTCTTAGGGCATGAAGCATAAGGTGGGCATTGGGGCGCTGGGCAGAAGATAGGCATAGGTGAGTGGCAGTGGGCATGATAGCCCAGGGCATGAGGCACAGGGCCTGAGAATTAGAAGTGAAATATGAGACGGGCATAGGGATGTGGGAGTGGGCCTGGGCACACGGGGGACATGGGTTTACAGGACATGGTCAGGGGATATGAGCACAAGGTGGGCATCAGATGGGATCCCCCACCCCAGACCCACCATCTTGGTGCCCGTAGAACTGCGAGCCCATCTTCAGGATGGTCGCCCGGAGCCCGAGTACCAGATCCGGCTGTGCTTTGGCGAGGAGTACCCGGGGCCCCCAGATCAGCCCGAGGAGCGGCTCATTATGGCCCATGTGAGTCACTTTCCACTCCAGCGGAGAACCACCCCCTACCCACCCCCTCTAAATAGCCTCTCACTGCTCCCTCCAGTCCTAGCTCTGCCCCTGACCTGCCATATGACCTCTGACCTGGAAGACCTCCTGTGTGAAAATCCATGTGGAGATGGGTTATCACTCCCCACCCAACAAAGTGGGTGGGTAAGGAAGGGGTTGGCTCATTCCTCCACCTCACTCCCACCCTGCAGGTAGAGCCAGTCTTCGCCAGGGAGCTCCTCCTGCACTCGAAGATCCACGGCCAGATGCCCAGGTGGCAGGTTCCCAGCGTAGCATCCCCGACAGCATCACTCACCTGCTGACACAGCTGAGTCAGCCCTAAGCGGCTTCTTCCTCCTACCATACCCACTAAAGCAACTCCCCACAGGGTATAGATCCCACCCTAGTCCTGCCCCAACTGAGCCAGGGGATTTAAGATAGGTTGAGACAGTGGAAGCCAGTCATGGCCTTCAACCACTCAGCCACCAAACTGGAGCCTGGGAACCAGGTGCAGAGATAGACAGCTGGACCTGAGGCATCAGGTTTGAAAATCAAACTCAACCTTGAGGCTCCAGAAATAACAATTAGGACAGAAACAAGGCTTCATCTTTTTGTTAAGAGTCGAACATGCTTACACTGGTTTACCTAAAGCAGACTCTAACTGCAGTTGATCCGTTATAAAATTTGCTTAAAGCTGAGTTTACTGGGAGTTCCCTGGTGCTCCAGTGGTTAGGACTCTGCACTTCCACTGCTGGGGGCCCAGGTTGGAGGGATCCCTTGTCAGGGAACTAAGATCCTGCAAGCCCCGCAGCCTGGCCAAAAAAAAAAAAGGAGGGGGGGTGGTGGCTGAGTTTACTAATAATTAGACCCTCGGCATAGTTTAGACTGAAGCCCAACCAGTAACAGAACTGTCCCACTTCTGAGGGGTTTGAGTTTCCAGACCCTCCTTCCACCTGCCACAATCTCTCTTCTTTGGAGGGGTGAGAAGTATTGGGGGTCTGGGCTCCCAAAACAGAGGATTTGACCTGAACCTGGGGCTTTGAATGCTAACAGCTGAACCACCACCTGTAGATACTGTCTTTGGAGAAACTGAGGCAGGCCTAGGATAGGAACCTGAGTGGGAGCCAGGAGTCCATCCCATGCCCAAGCCCCACCAATTTTTTGCAAAATGTGAGTTATAGGGAGTCTGTGAGAATTGGAGGGAACCCCCTCCACCATGAAGGCAGTGACCCTGCCTTGTCAGTAAAGTCACTGTTTTCTACCCCAGATATCAGACCTTTTACCTCTTCTGATTTCTGACTATTTATAGGAGTTCTCTTTCAGATGGCAATGTAATAAATCTTTCAGTGATACATAAATAAGCCACTTTTACAGAGGAGAAACTGTATGACTCCACAAAGGATAGAAGTCAGTCAAATCACTATTTTTAAAATTGATTTAACAAATGTTTATTGAGCACCTACTCTGTTTCAGGCAAATGCTGGACACTGGGGATAGAGCAAACCATGGTCCCTATTCTCTTACGGGTCACAAACCTGTTTTCCAGTGGTGGCTTGGTAACTGTCCTCTAACCCCTGCTCCTCACAGAAGGAGTGTATTAAGGAGTTCCATTCTTCTGAGTTGAAATCACAGCTTTGGTCTCTCACTAGCTGTGCCACCTCAGGCAAGTCACTTAACTTCTCTGAGCCTCAGGTTCCTCATCTACTCAGAAGAACCTCTCAGGGCCTCTGGAGCAGAGCTGGTCTGAGAAGTAGCTGTCGAGAGGGGAGGGGAGCTGGCCTGGCATGCCAGTGGCTCGCAGGAAGTGCCGGCTGACTTGGTTGCTTGGAGCTGGGAGAGCACGGTGGCGGCTGCTTTATCTTTCAGAAGCCTTGACTGTCCTGGGCTTTGCTGTACCCCCAAGCCTAAGGCTGCGGCTATCGGAGAAACTCAGCTCAAGGTGACAGTCCTCGTCATGCCCAAACCCTTACTCAGTGCCAGGCTCTAAAAGGGCACTGGATTCCGTGTAAGCTTTACCACAGCCGGACAACTGCAGAGTCAGCAGCTCCATTTTAGAGTTGGGAAACTGAGGCTCAGCCAGAGAATTGGTTGAGAGCCTCTTGGAAGGGGGATGTCTCTGGCCTGAGGTCTGTCCTCCCCATACTAGTCACTAGAGGGCGCCAGCGCCCAGCAAGCCGGGTTTGGGCTGGCTCTCATAAGCTCCCTAGGTGCCCCACCTCTTGCAGACCCCAGTGCTAGGAGGGCAGGGAACAGTGTGACCCCGAGTGCTCTGCGCTGCGGGGAGGAGAAAGAGAATCAGGGGCCTGGGAGGAGGAGGAGAGGAGAAAGGAAACCAGAGGTGGGGATTCAAGAGGTCCCTGAGGCTCTTCTCACAAAGCTCCCTGAGCTTGAGCTCACAGATTCTACCTCTCCTCTCTCGTGAGAGAGAGAGAGAGAGAGTGTGTGTGTGTGTGTGTGTGTGTGTGTGTGTCTCCCTGTCTTTGTGGATTTCTTTCTTTCTGTCGCTCACTGATTCTTTTTCTGTACTCTGTGCACGTGCGCACGTGCATGGGGCCGGCTCTGTGTCTCCCCTTTTTCTGCCTAATTGCTGTCTCTTGTCTCTGCCTGTCTCCTCTGTGTGTTCCTGTCGCCCTCTCGTTATGTCCCCACCTCTCTTTGTCTCTGTCCTGTCTTTCTTCATTCTCTCTCTGTATCTCTGCCTTGATCTCTTTTTGTTTCTGTCACTGTCTCGCCCAGTTTCACATCCCGTCTGTCTTCAGCCACCACCACCAGCCAGCACACGTGGGCTGAGGGTCTCAGGCCCTTCCCTCCCGTGTCTCCTCACCCTGGGCAGCTGCTCACAGCTTCCCAATCCTGGCCTCTCCTGCCCGCCCCTCTTGGGCCTAGGGGAAGGGGGGGCGAGGGAGGAAGGGAGGGCAGCCTGGCGGGCCCACCCCTTTTTGCCTTTCCAGGCTGGGAGGCTGGGCCAGTGGGCCTTTTAACCAGCCTGGGCAGGCTGTGCCGGACACCAGCCCTGGACATTGTGCCTGGCCTCTGCGGTTCCGGCAGCCCGGCCAGCCTGGCCAGCATGCAGCAGCCGCCCCCACCCGGGCCCCTGGCCCCTGCGGCCGAGCCAACCAAGCCTCCTTACAGCTACATCGCCCTGATCGCCATGGCCATCCAGAACTCTCCGGGGCAGCGGGCCACACTCAGCGGCATCTACCGCTACATCATGGGCCGCTTCGCCTTCTACCGCCACAACCGGCCGGGATGGCAGAACAGTATCCGCCACAACCTGTCGCTCAACGAGTGCTTTGTCAAGGTGCCCCGCGATGACCGCAAGCCGGGCAAGGGCAGCTACTGGACGCTGGACCCCGACTGCCATGACATGTTCGAGCATGGCAGCTTCCTGCGCCGCCGCCGGCGCTTCACCCGACGGGCCGGTGCTGAGGGCGCCAAGGGCCCCGCCAAAGCGCGCCGTGGACCCCTCCGAGCCAGCAGCCAGGATCCAGGAGCCCCCGACGTCGCAGCTAGCAGACAGTGCCCGTTCCCGCCGGAGCCACTGGAACCCAAGGGCCTAAGCTATGGGGGTCTGGTGGGGGCCTTGCCAGCCAGCATATGCCCGGCCACCACCGATACCAGGCCTCAGACACCCTCAGAGGCCAAGGAGATGCCCACGCCCAAGGCTGCAGGCCCCGGGGAGCTCCCTGTGGCCACCTCGTCTTCCTCGTGCCCTGCATTTGGCTTTCCCACCAGCTTCTCTGAGGCTGAGGGGTTTAGCAAGGCCCCTGCACCCATCTTGACCCCTGAGGCCACCATTGGGAGCAGCTACCAGTGCCGGCTGCAGGCGCTGAATTTCTGCATGGGGACTGACCCAGGACTCGAGCACCTCTTGGCCTCAGCAGCCCCTTCCCCTGCACCACCCACCCCGCCAGCCTCCCTCCGGGCCCCGCTGCCCCTGCCAGCTGACCCCAAGGAACCCTGGGTTGCAGGCAGCTTCCCTGTCCAGGGAAGCTCCAGCTACCCATTGGGGCTGACCTCCTGCCTGTACCGGACGCCAGGAATGTTCTTCTTTGAGTGAAGGCCAGCCGGCCTCAGGCCGTCCCTGCATAGCCCCTGCCAACTACGCCCTCCAGGTTGAGCCTGACTCTGGGATCTGGGGAGCTCTCAAAGGACGCGGGCCTGGCAAGCCCACGACAGCTGGGACAGGAAGCCAAGATTTCAGCGGTGAACACTCAGCCAGCCCTAGGGCCTCTGGACAGACTTGGGGGTGAGGGGAAGCAGGGCCCCCTGGGGATTCACTCTGTGGCTCTCAGGGCCAATAAAACCAGTGTGATGATGAGGGTCAGTCTGCTGGATGGTTGGCAGCTGAATACCAGGACACCTGGTTTCAAGTGGAGTGGGTGTGGCTGTGGGGTCAAATGGCAGGGGCAGGGGACCCCAGATAGAAATGTCCCACATGAGGCTGTCTACTGCTGGGGGCTTTCTCAGGGGGTTTCCCAGGAAGGCAGAGGAAGGGGGAGCAGGGATTTGGAGAGAGAGAGAAGAGGGATGCAATCAGGAGAGACGCCCAGCAGGGTTGGGGCTGGACAGCACTGAGGGGTTGATCCTCCAGCCCCAAAGTCTGACTCGGCTCCCTCATGATGAGCAGCCACAATACCTGTGACCATTTGTGGTATTTATCCTGTCCTGGGCTCATGTATATCTTCCCATATATATATATATATATCTGTGTGGTAGAGAATGTTATCCCCATTTTACAGTGGTGGAAACTGAGGCTCAAAGAATTCGGGGCTCACTAGCTCTGGCTCCAAATGGCAAATGAGTGGCAGAGAAGAAATCAAAACCAGGTCTGTGTGGCTCTACCCGCCCCTGCCCAATGCTACCTGCAGTTTGAGTGAGGCTGCAGGCTGGCACACAGGGTGACCCCCTCAGACGGAGGGGGGCATTTTTTGAAGCCTGGTGTGCCAGGGCTAAAAAGCCACCCCTCACTCCTAACACAGACAGGGAACCCAAGGCTCAAAAGGCAGGCACTCTTCCCTTGTCTGGATTTCCCACGTGACTGGGAGACCTCCCTGAGCCAACAGCTCTCTGAAGTCTCCTGGTGTCTCTTTAAGAAAACATTTCCCTCTTGGTGGGAGAGGGTATCTATCCAGGGTACAGCTCAGAAGAGACTGAGCCCTGAATTTTGACCTTCTTCACCTGCCCCCTTGGGTGGAAGCAGGAGAAGTGGCTATATTTGTGGCCCCCATCAGAGGAACAGACTTAGGGACCTGAAACCTCACTGTTCCCACACCCTCCAACACCAGGCTTGCTGAAGCGGATGGCTTTCTTCCCGGACGTCAGTCCCCGGTCTGGATCA